CTCTGCCGGGGCAGCGCGGCGGCAGGGAGGGGACCCCGTGGAACCTTGCCCGGGACCGAGCTGCGGACACCGCCCCCTCCGCGAGTATCTGGCCGGGATAAGGCACTTGCCCCCGCGTCCAGCCCGCACTTGCGCGATGGCCCCTTACGGCTCTTTTCCACCACTACCCCTCCCACTCTGAAGCCGACCAGGGAGCGTCACGAAATTCCCGTCTCTCGTGAACTGGCGCGGCTCGTGGGTCCCTTGGGTGGGTGGTGGCGATGCGCAGAGTCAAGACCTCACGGGAAGGCAGGCGAGGAGGAGATAGCTTGCAAACTCAGGGCAGAGAGGGGAACCCCGTTTTGCCCAGCTTTAGGAATTGGTCGATGGGGGGGTCCCATGCCAGGCAATCTACTCCACGAACTCCCCAGGGCTCGAGCATTCCCTGGGATGGAGGCGGATCACGGTCACAGTCAGGGGTGATTGGGGACACCCCTCACCCTGAAAACAAGGTCCAGGAGCACCCTTTGCCCCACTTAGAAATGAGAAACTGGCTTAGGGACACTCAGACCTAGATTTGCCTGCATGCTGGCTGCTGCTACCTCCGCAGGTGGGGGAGACTAGCCTGCCCTGGAGAGGCAAACCGCCGTGGGAATGCAGTGGAGACCCTTGGCCAGCATTCTGATGGAGTTAGGGAGGGTAGGGATGGGCGTGCCGGTTACATTCTTTGAGGTCAGATGGTGGTGTGGGGGCGAGGGGGGGGGCAGGGGTGGTTGCACACAGGCTCTTCTTCCAGACCCAAAGGAGGTCGGAACTGTGGCCCAGCACAAAATGGATGCGCAAGGACATTGAGGGAAGGAGGCAGCTGTTTATTGCGTGCCCTGGTCAGTTCCACCTGCTTCTGCCTTCCTGGTCCCCACGATCTGGAATCCGGCCAGCCCTCACGAAAAACCAGAGGGAGAGCAGAGCACTGAAGGCTGGTGACCTCTAGGAAGCGGTGACCACACTCCTGCACCGCCCCCTACACACACACACACACACTTTACAGACTTGAAGCAGCCGGATCTAAAAGCCCAAGGCGGCAGGTGGGCATCTGAGCTACTGGATTCCAGGAGTCTGCTGCGATTTAAAATAATAGTCCATTCCATACTGGAAAGGTTGGGTTACCACTGTTGAAGAAATGTCTGCTGTCTGTCCATGTGATTTGTGCATCTGAATACTACGAGCCCCGCCCCCTCCGCGGGTTAAGCCTTGGCTAGCTGGCGGTTTGATCCCACTGGCTGCTCCAGAGAAAGAAGAGGCAGTTGGTTTCCACAATGATTTACAACTTATAGACCCCCACACCCACCCTTGGCGGGGTCAGTTCTACTTTGTCCAGTGCAGTCGCCATGAGTCAAATTGACTGGCTGAAGGTGGGGTTGGTGTGTCATGCTACCAGTCTGTGAGCGGTGGAACGGGTACACCTCAGCTGTGAACCAAAAGGCTGCAGTCTGTCCAGAAGTGGTGCGGAGGAAAGGCCTGGCGAGACCGACATACTGCCAGGAAGTCAGCCACAGAGAACGGTATTGGGATTGGAAGGCCGGGTAGTTTGGGTATGTGAGTTGCCATTTAAAGATGTGTTTCTTCCTGTGGATTGTGGTCCACCAACAAAAGTTTTAAAAATCTTGTGCCCGGAAGACAGGGATCGTCAGGGGCAGAGGTGGGCTTCAAGCAAGTGTCAGGAGGCAGACCACCCCACTGCCCAGCCAGGCACACTGAAGCCCCAAGTGGCACTTGTTGGGGGCTCTCTGTGGCTGGGCAGCGGGGCAGATGGGGCCCCAGTCATCATGACCCAGGGACAATCCATCGGTCCTCCTGGTAGGAACGGGGCTGAACGGTTAGGTTATCTCATGGAAGATGCTGCCAGGTGAGCTGGAAGAGGGCGGCACCCAAAGGGCTAGGATGAGGATTCCAGGTCGCCCACAGCCTCGTTGGATTTGCACCACCAAGTCCCCCCACCCCCACCCCGCCCATGAGAACTCCCCCATGGCAGATCTAACCTCTGTGAGGTCAGAGGGCTCCCTCTGGGGCCCCCATCATTACCCCACTCCCCCACCCCCAACTTGAAGGACCAGAAGACTTTGTGTGTGGCCCCTCCCTCCCACGGGGTGTGTGGCCTGCAGGCCAGAGGTGGGGGGCTGCGTTTGCATCCGGGTATCTGGGTGTCTGAGGGCCATAGACGTCCCGGGGCCCTCACCAGAAGGAGACTGCTGCCACCGCTGGTGCCCAGCTCACGGGTGCTTCCACCGCGTGTGCTTCTGCAGCGTGTTCTGCTCCATAAAGCGGCGCGGGCAGTGGGGACACTGGAATGGGCGCTCCCCGGAGTGCACCCGGCTGTGCTGAGCCAGCTCGCCGGCTTCCCGGAAGCGGCGGGGACAGACTGGGCAGCTGTAGGGCCGGCCGCCACCCTCCTGGTGGATGGAGTGATGGCGAGTCAGGTGGCTGGCCCGCTTGAAGGCCTTCCCGCAGGTGTCGCACTCGAAGGGCTTCACCTCCGAGTGGGTGATGCTGTGTCGCTGCAGGTACGACATGTACTCGAAGACACGCGAGCAGACGGGGCAGCTGTAGCACTTCTTCTGGGGCGCCGCGCCCTCGGCCCCGGGCCCCCGGGGGGTCTCCTCCTCCACCAGCACGGTGTAGGGCACGCCCTGGGTGTCAATGAGCAGGTAGTGGTTGGCCCGCAGAGGGGAGGAGGTCTGGGGAGACGCAGTGGAGGAGGAAGGGCCTGGCTCAGGGGACCGGGCTGTCCGAGGGGGCGGGGCCTCCATGGCCCCCACGAAGAGAAGCGCCTGGGGCTTGGGGCAGATGGGTGGCAGCACCAGCATCCGGAGGGGTGACTGAGGCCTGTGGCAGTAGAGAGAGGTTACTAGAAAGGGGGAGCCGAGCCCCAATACCCCGCTGCCAAGAACTTCTGCACCCCTCCCTCCCCTGATCCTTTAACATTCACCTGAGCCCCTGACCTCTAGGTGGCTCTTTAGCAACCACGAACTCAGTGCCTTGGGGTTGATTGGACTCAGAGTGACCCTCCGGGCTAGAGTTGCCCGTGCAGGATGGCCTGGAGCTGGGCTGGGCTGAGGTACACGGGGTTTCACACCCAACACCCACAACGATGTTTCTGGGAGCTGAAGCCGACATCTTTCTCCTGTAGAGGCTGATGGTGGGCTCGCACCCACGACCTTTCGGCTCGGCTTGCAACCACGTGCTTGACCGCCGCATCACTAGGGCGCAAGTTAGCTGGTTGCGAGGGTCTCTCTTCAGAACACATCCAAGAGTCTCCTAACGTCTTGCCCCACGGTGCTCCCTCACTGGATCTCGGTCCCCCAGAGCGGCCCCTAGGAGCCCACCTTGGGTCCCTCTGCTCTGGCCACGCCCCGGGCGTCGCCATGCTCCACCCACAGGCCTCCAGTTCTCCACCCACCCCACCCC